TTCTTATAAACTCCAAATGCAAAAATTCCTTCACAAAAGATATAAATCTTAAAATTTTCTTGTAGCTATATCTTTTGATTTCCAAAATCTATCAGAAACTCCTTGTATCCTCAATATAGCAATATTATATCTTAAAAAGACACCTTAACTTCAAAGAGTTATAACTTTAGCACCATAACTCCAAATCCTCTAAAATTTGCACACAAATTGTAGCCAAAATCTTAAATCTTACAACTTTTTTTTTTGATTCTCAAGTGTTCCTTGTGAAGTTACTAAAACTCTTATTATGGTTGCAAAAATTCTATTGAATGCCTATTAGGCATAGCCTTTGACCAATAAGACTGAAGATCTTTATCTTTTGCCTTCATTCGACCATGCCTTGATATCATCCCTCTCCTTAAGTCTCCTAGTAGTTTGGATTTTCAACCTTAGGCTTCCAACTCCTCTTAAAGCTCTATATTAAATATCTAAATCTTATATAATTTAAATACTATAATAAAAATAGATAAAATTTAAAATAAAGTTTTTTATATCTATTCTCTTTAAATTAATTTATTAATCATAATAATACACATTAAGACTTATAAACATAAAATATATTTTAATTAATTTTTACATACTATAAGCATTTACAATATGACACCACATCTTGGATTTTATCAACACATGATGATTGCTCCTCGTGGAACTTGTCCCTAAAAAGAGAAGTATTTTCATGGATATATATACATACTATTGTAAATTCCTATATGATTAAATAGAAATAGATAAAAGTAGATAAAAGTAGATTAATTTCATAATATCTTTTTAAAAAGCTTCTTAAAAGCTTTACAAATGCTTCTTTGACTTTACATATATTTTTAGTTGATTGGTATGTTAGAAACTTGGTCAACAAGTTAATCAAGTATTGGTAGCTTGTGGAATAAGCTAATTATGTAGCACACATATAAAAAACTTTTCTTAAAAATTAAGATACGTACCTTATAAAATCAATATATTTTAGAGGTCCTATAGGACATCGCTACATAGCTTCTAGTTAAGAATATATATGGAGATAAGAGTGAAGACTTCTTCACTCTTGTCAATGCTTTTTTAATCCTTAGTCTTATTTCAAGTCTTTCTAATCTTCTTGTTTTTGGCAATAGCCATTTTAGTTCAATATTATATTATCTTTGAGTGACTTTCTAGTTCTTTTCAGTGGCTTAAGAGTGTATTGAGGATTTCTTTCTTTGAGATTTATGTCCTTGATATATATTTAGTAGATGTTTGAGCTATTATTTGAATAGTTTTTGAGAAATTTTAACAATTGCAATATTTAACTTGATAGAACTTCACTTATGTCTATTTTGATGTAGATCTTAGTAAAAATAACTTTATTTTATATTGATTTTTTTATGCATATGTAATTATGTGTTTATTTTTTGAACACATTTAATATAATATCAAGATAAAATTCAACCATATTAAAATATAATATCTCTTTTTTATCTCTAATTACAAAGATTAACTAATACATGCATATTAAGTAATAAAATTATGTCAATAATAATATAAAAAAATAAGATTTTTAAGATTATATATCTTTTTTTTACTTTAAAATTATATTCCTTTGAATAGGTATGATATATCTTCTATTCAAATCAACAAACAAAACTAGAAGAAAATGTAATTTATTATTTAAATTTTTTAGTTGAATAAAATCAAATATCATATTTTGTAGTACAAAGGTTTTAAATAATCTTAAAAAAAAGTCGGATTTAAATTATTTTTTATACAATATAAATCTAAAAATTGTCTATGAATGCTTTATGAACTTAGCTATGTAATTACAAAATTTAAGAACTAGTTAGATTTTTATAATTTAAAGAATTATTTTATTATAGAAAAAAATTAGTATCTTTTCAATCTTAACATAATTATATTAGGTCAAAATTATATTTTTCTAAATTTATGATTTTAAAAATAAATAAATAATTCTTTTGAGTAATTTTTGTTTTTTTTTTTAATTCTATAAAATCACCTAATTGTTTTTAGTATTTTTATTTCAAATAATTATCATAAATAATTTTTATAGATCACTTTTTGAATGATGTTCATTAGATTATAAGAAGAAAAAAAATGTTATTGTATGTATGTATGTATATATATATATATATATAATCAAAGGCTGTTTTTTTATTAAAAGGATATTTTAATTTTTTAAAATAAAAAATAAATAATTTTATTAAATTACTTTATAGTCAAATCCATAGGATACATATAAGAATTCACTAGAAAGTAGTCTAATAATAAATTAAAATTTTATTTTTTATATATTTTTTATTTCAATTTTAATTCATCTAAATATAGATTAGTGTAAGTTATAAAAGATAATTTATAAGTAGATTTAGAAATTTTATCATATTTTAAAAAAACTACTTGAAGAAATAAATTAAATATAATTTAAATTTATAAATAAAGAAATAATGGACAATATAAAAGATTTTAGTCTAAGTAAAAGCTAATTCCATAAAAGTATGGAATTACAAAGTCTCTTAAATCTTTTTAAGTAATCTTGAATTAGTTTAAAAACTAGCACCAAGTTATTTATTAGAATTTTTTGAAACAATTATTGCACTCACTTTATTAGACTATATTAAAGTAATAGATTATTTAATTTTAGAAAAAAATTAATAAAAAAATTTAAAAATTTAAATTTTATTTTATATAAGATTCATGAACCTAATATGAAATTAGAGACTTACTATTTTATTAAACATGTTACACAAGATATTATTAAAAACAATTATACTCTTAGTTCATAACAAAGGCTATTAATTTCAAGCAAAATATATTTCTACTATTTATCAAGGATGTAAAATGATGAGGTAAGAATCTAAGAAGAATAATAAAAAAATATTAAATTAGAAAAAAGACTAGATAAAAAATTATAAAAAGATAATACTTGCTTTGCTCCAAAAATTGATTTGGCAAAATTAAGGTGCAACTTGTCTTGCTTTATTACATAACCTATTGCAATAAGGTCCTATAAAAGCTTCTAGAGGAGGTTCTAATCACTATAGAATATTCTAAATTTTTAAAGTTTCTCTAATAGAAACTTCTAAGAAACTGTAAAAAGTCATGTATAATAAGCTTTTATAATAAGTCATATTTTACATGTATTTTATGAAATAAAATAAAATAACATTTTTAAAATTTCTAAAGGATCTTAGAAACCTCTCAAATTATTTTGGACTTTCTGAAATTCTAAAATATATATATGTTTTTTATTTCTATATTATTTATAGAATATTTTATAATCTTGTCAAATATTTTAGAAGATTTTAGAAAGTCTTTGATTTTGTATTTTGTTGAATATCTATTTTAAAAAAACAATCTACATATACTTATGAAAAGACAATATATGCATGTACATAAAAATCCAATTGTACAATTTCTATCATTGGGAGACAAACTTACATTTTGTTGGCAAATGTAAAACCTGTACCATTTTCAAAATTATTATTTTTATTATTGACGGAATAAGAAAAGATTCTTTGTTAGACCAAACATCTTTACAATTAACAATCTACCAAAGGAAATATTATAAAAAAATAAAAATTAAATAAAAATATAATAAATAAGATAGTATGAAAATTAGGCATATTAAATTATTAGCTTATATGTCAATATTATTACATTAATATTTTTTTAGAAAATTAAATAATAAATTATATATTAGATATTGTATCTTGGTTTGATTTAGCTCTTGGCCCTGAGATTAATTAGATAAAATTAGAAATATATTAATAATATGGTTCTATATTGGATATAAAATTTTATATAGACCATTAAAGGATATAGTGAAATTTTTGATTTTTTAACACACTAGTTGGATAAATATAAACTCAATTTCAAAATAACTTTTTAGAGAATTCAAATTCTTTTTCAGATTCAAAGGAAATTTAATATTTTTCATTATATCTTACAATACAAATCTATAAATGAAGTAATGACTGATTGAGCAAGATCAGATATATGTAAAAAATGAAAATGAAATAAAATCACAATTAATTAAAACTTAGTACTTGACTTAAACAAAACAGAAAAACAAACTGTGCACTAATTTTGAGTTTAACCGACCAAAATTTTATTTACACCACATGCCAAAAAAAATCTATTTTAATAAGGAAATTAAAATTTGGCTTAAAGAAATTGCAATAATCGTATAGAGATCTAAAAGAAACGTAAACATATTGCCTAATTTTAGCATGTACTTACTTCATACATTAAAGGCAATAACATATAGATTTTAAAAATATACCTAGACTAAGAACATATAAGATTGATCTACATTCTGATTTTTTTACAAATTGAAGATAAATCCATGGTGTTAGTAATTAAGGAGAGCTTTTTCTTAGCAACACAAAATCTTTGTCACTAGTTTGCTATCAAAATTTAAGTAGTTTAAGATCCATTAATACTCGCTTAGAAGAACATGTCTATAAAAAAAAATAAAAATAAAAAGATGAACTTTAAAAAACACATTCTAATTTGTAAAGACAACTTATTTGAACAAACCAACAAAAATACATCAAATTAACATGAAATGAAACCTGGTGAAAAAATTCAAATAAAAGTCAGATCTTTAAGTACTACAACAAATCTTGAGGTGGCAATCAAACAAATAACATCAAAGAAAGAAAATGAAACCTTTGTTGAGCACATAGAATCTGTATCAGTGGTCTCTAATTGCACACAGAGCAGAAGAAGTTGAGAAAGTGAAAAAATGGTGAGTTATTTATCACAGTTTGATGCCTCTTTATCAGCCTTAAAGAAGGGTATGCCGCTTTGTTGCTGTGTGGCCCAATAAATTCAAGCAGCGAGTCAACCCCTCTTGTTTCGAAAAATAAAATAAAAAAATTCTGAAAAAAGATTATATAGCATTACCAGACAATGTGCAAAAGCAGAAAGAAATCTTCGTCGGAAGCTAATGAATCTGCCAATTGGCACAGCCTCTTGGAAGCATCAGCGGCGCTTTACTCGTGGACATCTGGATGTGGTGAAGCAATTTTGACTATACGGGGACTATGCAGGGAAGCTGTTGTGTGCAAGTGTGTTTTTCGACGTTCAAGTCGGATTTTGCTGTTGTGGGTACAGGAATTTGACGTGGTGGAGGAGTTAGTTTTGGTTGGGTCTGTTTCTGCGTTGGAAAAGAACAGCTGATTTTGGCGATGGCGCTGGAAGATGTGACTGTGGCGCTGGACTGGACGCCCAACAGTAACCATGTGGGGTTCTACGTTGCGCAAGCGCGAGGGATGTATGCGGATGTGGGGTTGAGCGTGAAGTTTATCAGCCCACATTGTGACAATTACAAGGCGACTCCTGCATTGAGAGTATCAGCGAAAGAAGCAAGTAAAGGAATTGCACCCTCTCTCTCTCTCTCTCTCTCTCTCTCTCTCCCTCGCTAAGAATTTTTCAGTTGTAGGATTTGACGGTGTAAACATTGGTCTTATTTGTGTGATCGTCGGTGTGCAGCGTTGGGTTTAGGGCCATCAGAGACGCTGTTCAGCTACCATTCGGAGTCTGAGAAGCCGGATCTGATCGCCATTGCCACGCTATTGCAGCAAGATTTGAGCTCCATTGGTGAGGGACCACACCATTGCTCTTGAGTGAAATGCGTCTGGAAGTAGCATGGGCATCTCCGCGATTTGGTGATTGTAAGCACATGGGTGTCACCGCAAATATTTTTCTGATGGATTGAGTATCATTTCGCACGTTAATATGTGGGTGTGTACTACTCTGATGCAGCAACTCTTAAGAAGAGTGGAATTAATCGACCCCAAGAACTCGACGGGAAGAGGTACGCTTCTTACGGCGCGCGGTATGAAGGCCGTATAGTCCAGAAAATGATCCAGAACGACGGCGGTAAGGGCGATTACGAGGAGATTGTTCCTGCAAAGCTGGGCATCTGGAGCACCTTGTTGGAAGGAAAAGCAGACGCTACTTGGGTTTTCAGTGGCTGGGAAGGGTGCGCGGCTTCCATTGCTGGCGTTGAACTCAACGAATTCAGACTCTCCGATTACGGGTGAAGATGCTATCATTCTACCGTCTTCATAAATTTTCGATACCCCAGCTTTTTCATGCATGTGAGGCAGGCACAGAATCACACCTTGTGAAGCGGAGAAGCGAAATGAGGCGTATCTTTCTCAAAATTTCTTTGACCTTATGCCGCCTTCTGCATTGTGTCTTAAGGATTTCAATCGTCATTCAACTCCTGTTCACTCTTTTTGTAGGATCCCATATGGCTACAGCCCCGTGCTATTTTGCCATCCGGACACAATCAAGTACGTTCCAACCCTTGAAATTAGACAAAACTTGTTTATATCTACACATTGTGAAAAATGATTTCTGACATTCATCTTCCGATACTTGCATTTCAGCAGTGACTCCGCCGATAAGTTGTCCAACTTTCTGCTGGCGACAGCAAAGGGGTACGCTTGGGCAGCTCGCCAATCGTGCTTGGAAGCTACGAAACTATTTTTGGTGAGCTTGACACGCTCCTTCTTCATCAATCTTCATTCACTTCTCTCCTCCATCCATGAATAACCAATGCAGTCCTTTCTTGTCCTTCACAGAAACAAGTGAAGCAGGAGCATCCAGATTTGTTAGAGGAGGCTGTGGCCCAGGAGCTGGTTTCGGAGTCTTTGAATTACATGAAAAACTCATTTCTCGCAAGCGATGGCCACTGGGGACACATGGACGCTGCCGTGTGGGAAGCATTTCTCAATTGGCTACAGACGGAAGGATTGCTCACAACTTATACCCAGTCACGAAACCCTGTGCCTGGTGTCAGTGTCTCTCTTGACGAGCTTCGTCAAGGAAATGTGGGTGACCCCATAGCACATGATCAGATCAACCTGAAGAACGTTTACACAAATAGGTTCCTTGAGCTTGCACGTCAGAAGAGCTAAGATCCTGCGCTACCAGCAATGGCCACCATGCAAATCCTTCATAGCTTAGAGCGTTGTGTTTACATTCTAAGCTCACGAGAATGCTTATCATGAGTTTCTCGGGATTCGCTTCCACATAGATGTTTATCTCTTGTGTGCATTATAGCGGAGGTAACCTTGAAGGGAGAAAATGCAAACCTGTAGGAATGTAATGGGTTAACTGAGTGCAGAGCAATTGTACCTCTAAGACCTGCTTGACAGTGTATTGAATTTGCACTGTGTTTGCTGATTCTTTACATACATATATACAGAAATGGATGCACAAACGAACCAAGGTTTCAAGATGTTTCAACTTGTTACCTCTGATTTATCTTAAAATGAATAATTGGCGACAATGTGCTAGTCTAAGTTTATAAAGATTTGGGCATACAGGCTTAAATCTCATTACTTTCCTCTGTTCAACTTGCCAGCAATACGACAGATTGATGAACTCTGTAAACTCTGGCACTGTCAACTCCGCAGGCATTTCCTTGTAGGGATATGTGTGCCAACGAATAAAATAAATCAAACGGTTTGGTTTGGGAGATCAAATTAACTAAAAGTTGGATTTAGTTTAGTTATAGCCAAGTCAAAACCGGTGTTGATTTAGCTGAACAAAAATTGCCAACTTGGTTGTAATCATGTCTTGCAGAGCAGTGATCATTTCAAATCTTGATTCCGTTTTTGTAATTTTGGGTTGGTTTGAAAGATCACATTCAATTTAAATTAGATCTAGTTTGGTTACAACAGAGTCCACACTTGTGTCAATTTATCTGAACAAAAGTTACCAAATCGATAGTGGGCATATCTTGCACTATGGTCATCATCATTTCAAATGTAGATTCCATTTCCACAGTTTGGTTTGGATTGGTTTTAATTTGATTAATTTTGTGTTAAAGATCTATTACTTAGTTCGGTTTTGGTTTTGCCAATCTACAGTTGTTTTAATTTGGTCCAATTTGAGGGTGGCTTGAACCATTTTTGCAGGTGCACAAGCGGAAATTCCAATTCCAATCCAATCCACTTGTGCATCTGTTAAAATGAAGTGGTAAACAGTTACCTGATGGAAGTCAAAGAAATCTTTTCTTTGCATCCAAAGGTTAATATTACTGATCCAAAAGGAAGTCTGGGTAATTATGTAGCGCATTTATACTAAACGCACAAGCCGTCACCTGAGGTTTAGTTCACCATCTCAAGCTCTTCAGAAGCCTGAGTTCAACATCGTTACCCTCCTAACAGACACTACGGATCGAAACAGGCTTCCAGCAAGACAACGCTAACTGACATATGACCTCAGGAAGTAGTTCCAAGTACATGTAAGCGGCACAAAACAAAGTTCATAAAGAGTGAGTGGCAATGAATTTCATGAGAAGCTTATGATTGAACTGATGACAGGAATAAAATGTCTTTGATAGGGTACACTAACTTCACAGCTGGTATAGATTGATTAGCAGTCTCCGATTAATCGGACTCTGCAAACATGCTAGTGAAGAAGAAAAAAATTGGGGGAAAAGCTTTCACGATACAATTGTGTTGGGCAAAAATATACTACTGTGGTCCTCGCTAGATTATATTACATTGATGGTTTCCCATTTGTATCCCCACTCCAAGGACTAAAACATTCCTTGCCTCAAAGGGTACGTGTTTGGAGACTGAGGCCGCGCTTGGTTGCGTAGCCCCTTGTGGGCCTCGCATCGTTTTCGATCAGGTCGGGGGGGATCCAGGCAAACTGTGCCATCCTCCAGTCGCAGTCCACAAATATCCCGTCGCGTAGACAAGCGCGAAGACTCGCATGCCGATTCCTCGCAAGTCGCAAGAATGTTACTGTATGAAGTAGCGCTTAGTTTCGTGCCCTCAGGTCTGGGACCCAAAGGGTTCTTCAGCTCCGCCCATTCCCGGCTCTTGGCCATGCGGAGCTCCGAAGTGCGGAGCCACGAGTTAAATGACAAGCTGCCGCGCCGCTTTGGCTCCGGGGGGTTGCTGCGTACTTGTGAAGAGTGTGAGAGGCAAGAAAAACATGAGATTGATGACTCCGGAGACGGTCTCTTCAGCGGTCGGTCGCCTTGTTCGGTGGGTTGTGTAACTCGTACCAGAACCTCGCTGCTGTCGTGGGTGGGACTACTTGTGTGAGCTACTCTTGCTGGCTTTTTATGGCTTGGTTTCTTGTGAAGGCGGCATCGTTTGCTGCTCTTGACAGGGAGGGCACTGCAGGATAGCCCGGATTCTAGTAGTGCTCCGCAACGATTAACTGGAATGTCGAGTTTCGTAAACTCGGAGGTTTTAGCAGACTTTCCAACTAAAACTGGAGGGTTGAACTTGTAGGCGAAAAAGGCAGCGATTTTGCTGGAGTCTGTCCCTCTGCTGCTGGATCCAACGAAGGGGCGGCTGTTATCTGATGGTTGTCGTGCAGCAATCGTGACGCCAACTCTCCTGCGTTTGAAGACAAAGAAGACGCGGCCTGAACTTTCGCCGAAGCACCCATGGGAGTCGTTGGAGCCGAGAGCGCCTCTCTTGACGATCTTGGCGAGAATTTCTGGAGAGCGTTGTCGAAATTTGCCTCCACGTTTCCATGCGTAGTCGAAGACATCGATTAGCTTGGACTCCGTCCTCTCGGCCGCTTCTTTGCTATCGGTCTGGGGTTTATGAACATCAGATGACCAGAATGAATTAATATCTCCAAGCTCCCAGCCAAACACATCTCAAAGAGATTCCAATTTGATTCGTTCTCTGACAAAGAAAGCAAGTTCTGTAAATGGTGAAAAGTCCGTACTCCAGTGAAATGTAGCGTATACTCACCGCAGCCCAACGAAAAGCTATGGAGCACCCTAGAGCAAAAGCCTCTGAAAAGAGGCGGGGACCTCGCATTGGTGAACGACTACCAACTTGGTCGGAAGGGTTGGCACTCTTCTTCTCTGACTTTGCTTGGTACTCATCAGTGGGATCACTACTTCCATAGCTCTCAATGCTCGTGTAACCGCCATCGGTACCGGGAGCTCTGTCGGAGCTTGTGTTCGAAGACTCCGAGGCAAGACTCCTCGACTTATCAAGCTGTGGAAGTTTTGGTGTACTACCCAACTCATTCTTAGCATTAAACAACCTTGCTGACCTGCGAGAGATCAAGTGTCTCAAACCAATAAATACTGTGCCGACCACAAACTAAAAACCCTGAAATCATATGCCACGGTCAGCAGAACAATTATGCCGTCCGGAAAGACCATCGAAACATGGCGAAGAGGTGTACTAAATTGAAAGAATCAACTGACCTGATACCTTCGAGATGAGCGCCCGTCTGTCCGTAGCGATGCAAATGGTAGTTAACATTATCAGCGCACCCAAGGTATACAACCACCACATCTTGAGGTTTGAGAGAACCGGAGTGATTGCTGCGCTGAGATGGCAGCCATGCAGGTGGCGTTACTCCAATCTCATACACACCAGGACCAGAATTGCTGCCAGGGAGGTTGCTCACTCGATATCGGTCCGGAATCTTCCCGGACGCGTGATCCTTCCAGTCAGAGGAACCGACGAGAACCTGAGGGCGAAAACACCTCTTAATTCTTAGAACTCATTACTGATTGTTAACAGAACAAGAGTCAAGCTACTCAATTGGAATTGATCCCTTCGATGCAGACTTCTACACTGAAGGCACACGACGCAAGAAGCACTAGAAGCCTGTGACGTGTAGTACTACAATCTGAATGAGAAGTCATCAGTTGTAACGCCTATCATTAGCAAACATCTGACACCCAAATACGAGTGTAGGAAACTGAGATCAATGATCCCAGAGTTCCCAGCCCTGTATTCGATGGAATCAAATGTGAACACCTGAAATTTGAATCAAATTTTCAAGCGATAGTACGTTTTAATTTAACTAGTAGAGGGTTTTCACATTCAAACAAGGTTAACGTTTTGCTTGAAAGGTTCACCTGACGAAATCTAGATACCTGCGAGCCTGCCTCCTATGACAGGCACTGCGGTCTCGGACTAAAACATGAGCTTGCATTTGGAATGGACGTATGTGCTGGGCGAAACTCAGTTACAGAAGCGGCTCAGTGGTTCAAAGGGCGGTCGGTTTTTACTTTGATTCTAGAAAAGGATGCTACCGAGAATTTGATCGTAGACGTAAAGGGGTGATGAAAATGGGTATCCAGTGTAAAGTAGGTACACAGCTTCATACCTTCCAATCAGAGAAACTTTTGTCATGCTTCACGTGCGTATACTCCTCTCGTTTCAAGCGTTTTTTTTTCTCCCGAACATTCACAGCCTTCATGTCACATACAAGGCCCATGCCGCGGCCGCTATCTCCACCAGCAAATTGTATCCCAACTTTCGTTAACTCACCCCAAATCAAAATTATGAAGACAGTATTCAGGAACCGAAACCTGCGAGTCACTTGCAATCCGTGAGCAGAGCACGATGCAACGAAATCACTTCAACCCATTCCTCGCAGGCCAGACTCCCTGCATTAACGAGATGATTCAAAAGTGGTTACAAACCACACCCGCTGAACCCAATTCCCTGTGAACTCCAGGTGCTTCATCACAGCATGTCAAGACATCTTCAACACGAAACCCACAAGCTGTTCGCACAGATCCTCAATTCGCAATTTCAACCCATCCTGCATGCACAACCTTGCTCCTAACGGCGTCTGAGCGTTTAAACTCCACAATGTCGGAGACAGCTGGCCATCTGCGTGAGAACCCTCCCTCTCCGAGTTTCAAACTCAACTCCCCCCCAATTAGGTTCCAACAAAAATCTCGTCATGCAGCCTCTCGTTACGGATTCACCCGAGTCTAATATCTGCGTGAGGAAAGAGGATCTGGGCGACCACAATTTGGCGGAGGGGGTTCCCATCACTGCGAACCCTGTCCACAATTCTGCCCACGTCAACGACTCGAACTGCGACAACGAGAAACCTGCCACCATTCCAGCGAAAGGGGCGTATGACCTAGGGGGTTCATTCATGAGCGTTATCAAGGCTTGCGCAGATTGCTATTCCGGGGAAGAAGACATGAAGAAACATGCTCCTGCAACTGCCCTGAAAGGCGATCTGTGTTGTGGCCTAATTCCGACGCTGCGATGGCGATGGCGAGATGAGGGAGGAGATGCAACGCCTTCAAAAGGGGGAGACGCTAGGCAACAAGTTCCTCCTGCCGACGACGCATGCTCATCCATCCTTAAACTCTAATCCTCCAATTCTCCGTGACTTTCACCCTGAAACCCTACACACGAGTATTCTCTGTAATGAATCAGAAAAAACCTCAAAGCATACAAATCACTACACTCTGCTCTGTTGGGATAGATTGCAAATGTTTGGAGTCAAAATAGATAAATCATTATTTTAGCTTTTTGGAATTATAAAATGTGGTTTAATTGTTGTAGGTAACTAATAACATAGACGATGGAATATTAGAAGATTTTATTTCAAAATTTATCTTGAGTGTAAGATCTTAGGATTCTAAATTTGTTATGTTCTTGCAACTCAATTAAAATTCTATATATCAAGTAAACCAATCTTGCAAAACAAAAATTCAACCCGCACTTTGATTTTTTTACTTCATTTGTTTATTGGTTGTACATATTTCCAAAACATGGATGTTGGGTGATTACATCTTACTGTATGAGTAGTTCAGTAAAGGACAACCAATTGTTAGGAGTTCCTAAAACCTTGGTAAGAGTGATGCATGGTGTAAGATTTGAGGTTTCAAAAAAATAAAAATAAAATAAAATATATAAAAATACACATACAAAAAATCGTTTATAAGCAATTAAATAGGATTAACCGTTTAGTATTTATTAAAATGTTCTTGTACAAGTAGTCACTTGGATATTCTATTTATTTAGTACTAAGTACCAATTGGATACATATTCCACTACGGCCCACCACGTAAACCTCCTTTTTTATAATAAAAACAATAATATATATATATATATATATATATATTGATACACAATTTAACCTTCTCATAATAATGTCCTTTATGTACTAGCTAGGGAGGCTTAGAGTGAAGACTTTGATAGTAATATTTTTATAATTTAGTGAGTTTTAAGAATGCTATAAAGATATAGTGGAAGCAATAAAATTGATTATTGAATCAAAAAAAATAATGTAATTATTGGTATCTAACTTAATTTTTGTAATTATGCATTTCTAAAAACTTGGTAAAAAAAACCTCATTATTTGAGGTTTTGTAGTCAGAAAATTTTATAGGAATCAGAATTTCAAAAACAATGATGTATCAAAATAAAACAAAATAATATTAAATTTGATAAGTACAAAAGATGACAATCACAAACTAGCTTACAAACGTTTATGTTTTAAACTAATATCAATTCATAATAAGTTATATATTTTAGTTTTTTACTGTTTTATGTGTTTTTCACAATAAAATTTGGTATTTTATGTTGATATGCCTGTATAGGATCGAGATCAACATAAAATTCATGTAGTTTTCTGAAACTTTAATGTATAAAATTTGACATAAGAGGTGAAAAGATCATAAATCATGCCTAATTTTTTGGTGTAGAAAATTTGTTCAAGTGCAACATTTCATTTTTGAGTTATTTGAACTCTAAGTTATTTGAACTCTAAGTTATTTCTAGGTAATGTATATATAGCCACATATTCAAACCTTTTTGAATTATATAAATATTGCAACAACATCCCCTTCTTTTTCTATTTTTTGATATGAAAGAATTCCATTAGATGCAAGTGAAGAATTAAAATAAAACCAAAAACACATTTATTTTCAAAATGATTCCAAATCCAACTATCTACACCAGTAAATAAAACATGATGATGTAAACTTAAAATTTGAAAGTGTTATTAGAAACTAAAATTGTTGTGACCATGTAAATCCAATCTAAAGTACATACAGTTTCAAAGTTTTATTAAAATAATCTTATCAATATTTTGTTGTTTAGGTTACCAAAAGTAACAGTTTGATGTGGTGGTGGTTGTTGTTGTTGTTCGTCCAAAAATAATAAAATTAGGCAAACAACACCATTTTTCAAATAAACAATTAATCACATGGGCAATTAGGCAAACAACACCATTTTTCAAATAAATTTTCAAGGACAATTACATAAATAGCTTTTAGCTTTTGATTTGAGTTCTACATAAATTAACAACAAAAAAAGGTGCATACAAACTAATTAAATGTCATCTAATTAATTTAATATTATTACTATTATTATCATTATAGTTTTATATCATTTAATTACAATGTTTTCCTTTTATTTTTCTTGGGTGTCTTGGTACATGCAACATTCATTGTACAATCTAATTGCCTACCTTTTTATAAGAGTCAATTGTGGAAACAAAAGCTTCCACACCTTTTTACTTTAGAAAGGAACAAAAGTTTAAAGTATAAGTAAAAAAGGAATGTAGTACATCCACCATCCAACCTTTCTCATCCATGTGAACGGAATTCAAGTGTGGATTCTGCTGAGTCACAACCTCATTCGTCTGAGGCTTTGAAGACACTACCCCATTTTGTGGTGGAGCCTTTTTAAATTTATGAACTTAATAATAAATTTTAAAGAAATACAAATCATTGAAGTAGAAAAAAAATGGACATTAAACCACGAGATACCTTTGTGGCTTTTTGCTCATGGAAATCCAGCTGCTTTATTTAATTATTTCAAATGGATGTTGCTTTTTACTTCTTCCTGTCAATAAAAGCACACAAGTTGGATTTGGGGATTCCTCCTTTACTTGAAAAGCTTTTGCAACTACAGAACGAAAAGTTGGGCAGTGGGTAGATTTTTTCAAAAATTAGGGTTCCAATCTCATGAGCCCTAATTAGGGTTAGAGATACTTTATCCATCATGCTTGATGTTGTGCTTGCAGTTAAAAAGTGGTTAAGGGTTATGAGGAGAAAAAAAGATGAGCATGAATAGAGGAGCAGGGATACTATTAGGGATTAGCCAATAAACATATTGTTTATTTTTCATACATTACTAAGTAAACAAAGTATTTTGATGCTGTTTTATTATTTCTATTGTTCATTTCCATAGAAAATACACAATTACAGCCTTGGTTATTTGCTCAAAAGTTTGGTTCAAGACTACAAAGCAATAATGTCTGTCAATATACTATGAAAATAAATTATATATATATATATATATATATATATATGCATTCAAAGATTTTGAAATTGATGGAATTATACAATAAATAGTGTCAGTGAAGAATGCTTTTCTTCAATATCTCCTTAAACGACCATGACAGGGTTTAGAAAGTTATGGAATGATTTGGATTTTGTTTTTGGATATTATTGCAATCATTTATTTCTAATTTTAATACATTTAGTTACTTCTTAGGCTTGAATAAGAGTTCTTTGAACCCTAATTACTTATAAAATAATATTTCAAAAGGATTACTTTTGTATTTAAACAACTATCTAAAACATAACTATAAATTGATTTGTAAAAAAATTACATTATAATTGTCAGTATGCATATGCATATGTATATATATCTATGCAAAAATATTTGTACAAAACAATCAAAATGGAATATGTTTCTCCCTAATAATAAAGTACCAAACTAAGATAGGTTTTTTTTTGTTTTGTCTTTACCTTAAATTAATATATGCCCATAAAAATATATACAAACATATTCTGTATTTTTTTATCTTTAACATGAGTTATCTATATTTTATCAACTTCACAGTAGAAAAAAAGGGATGTAATTTAAGGTGAAAATATCTTACCATTATTATAAATATAGAATTGGACTTACATCAATTGTGATACAACCATTACAACTTCAATTGTAAGAAAAATGTGATTCAACAAAGTGTAATCCTACTATCCTATCTAATAACATTTCCCACTTCAAATCTTAAAATTTCCTAGTTATCTAAGTTTTATCCCACCTACAAAGAGAATCGGCATTAGGTTTTGACTACATTTTAATTCTTACAGCTGTTATTTTTCATGAAATTTTACTGCACTTTACCATGCCCATCCAAATCACTTTGAATGTTTGTAACCAATACACAAAATTCCTCTTCGCAAGGATCAAGTGAGGTTGAAATGTTGCCTGACAGATTTATTTCATGTGAATGAGTCCACGCTGGATTTGACATCTGCCATGTCAGCAATGAAAAATTCATACGAACATTGTAGTCCTAATAAATGTCTACTTATTTTATTTATTTGCCTTTCTGTGGCAACTGAGGCCCTGATCGTAACAAACTTGTTCATGATTGGGCCACCTCTCGAATGATCAAACATGTCGGTGGACAAGGAAATTCTGGCATTTTGGGTAAAAGCAAACATTGCGATGATAGAGACCCTCTGACTAGCTATGCCTGAATTTGGAAAATAGCCCATGAAACCACTTCTTGTCCAAGCTCTTGTCAATGACTAGTCGATAAATTGTGTGCACAATGTCTTTAAACAAATGTATACTTCTCTTAAAAAATTGATTATTTGACTCTATTAAATCTTCATATTTCATAATTCTTGTATTTGATTGTTTTTAATGTTGATGTGTTGTAGTAGTCTGAATTCTATAAGTATTGAATTTGGAAAAAAAACTTTAAAAAAAGAAAAAAGAAAAAAGAAAAAAAAAAACCATGTAATATAGATTTTTGAATAGAAACCTTATATATATATATATATATATATATATATGTGTGTGTGTGTGTGTGTGTGTGTATGTGTGTGTGTGTGTATAATTTAAATAGTTATTTTGATATATATTCAAATTATATAGATTCTTTAATTTAAAGTTTAATTTTTGAAATTTTGAGCTCTAAAAATAAATTAGAATTAACCATTGTAATATGGATTAAATGCCAATATTAATGGTCAAAAGAACAATCTTTAGAAAAATTATACTCATGATACTATAAAAAGTGGATTGTTTGTGTTGAGGATGTTTAGAAAGACACAAGAGTAGTAGTAAGTAATACACACACACAAGAGTAGTAGTAAGTCATACACACAAGAAGGTTTCTAAGGAGAGAGAGATTCACACATAAAAATCTAGTGATCTGGTTGTATCTTGTATATAAGAAGAGAAAGGAGAGAGGATAAACAGTTCTTTTCCACTAGACTCTAAATATTGTAG